CTATCCTATCCTATCCTATCCTATCCTATCCTATCCTATCCTATCCTATCCTATCCTATCCTATCCTATCCTATTCCACTCCACTCCACTCCACTCCACTCCACTCCACTCTACTCTACCCTACTCTACTCTACTCTACACTACTGTACTCATTGTATGCCAGATTTTGGCTAGAGGTGACTGCTGGTTCTCTGTTTTGGAATTTTTTTTTGTTGTTGTTGATGCACATAACAGATCTATAGTGTTCTGTGTCAGTTTTCTCTCCCCTGGGACAAACCAGGCCTTCATTTGGCTGGGTGTCTTATCTCTATGAAAGTGAATGTCAGCGGAAACCCTTTGATTGATGGCAGGAGTGATAGAGTGAGCTTCTGACCAAGGGCCACTTCGCTTCCCTTATCTGAATTTTGCACAAGAACAGACTTCCTTTTAGAATAAAAAAAGAAAAAGAGAAGGGAATCTGTTTTCCTGTTGTTGTTTTGAAAACAACTTCCTTTCTGTCTTCTTCCTTTGGTGCCTAACTATTTCCTATGCAAGTCTGGGTACTCCAGAGAAATATTGATTTGCACATTAACCTTTGCCTTTCTTTTAACAAAATTCACTCCGATTTGTTGGTTTTATGAATGGAGGTTTATTTGCAAAACACTATTTCCTACCTTTAATATCTAACTGGGCTGTGCTGGCCAAAATAAGGACAATTTACCTTGAGATTTACCCTCTTCTTTGTGGTAGCCCTTTAGATATTGGAACACTGTTATCATGTCACCCTTAGTCCTTTTCTTCATCAAACTAGCCGTACCCAATTTCTGCAACCGTTCTTTGTATGTTTTAGCCTCGAGTCACTAATCATCTTTGTTGCTTTTCTTTGCACTCTTTCTAGAGTCTCCACATCTTTTTTTACATTGTTGTGGTGACCAAAGTTATTTACACAATCAGATATTCTCATTGAGTCACTATATTCATAAAGCCCATATAAGCAACTTCTACATCCCTATGTAAATCCATCTTCAGGTGTAGAACTCCCATGGAGGTTAGCTGATCACTTAGCTACAACATGTTGGAAGTAAGACCTTAATTAGACTTAGACATGAGATGATTTCATTCCCCTACTCCAAGGGATTCATGCAAAGAGAGATCACTGGTACATGGTTTTAAATCCCACTTTCCAATTCATTCATTCATTCATTCATTCATTCATTCATTCATTCATTCATTCATTCATTTATACATTCATTCATTCAATTTCTATAGCCACCAATCTTAGTCAATGAGTCTGGGTGGCTTACAATTCAAAAAAAATATTACAGTTAAAAATGCTAAAACTTTTTAAAATAATAAAAAGAAAAGCACTCAATCTCACTTTCCAATTCATCCATCCATCCATCCATCCATCCATCCATCCATCCATCCATCCATCCATCCATCCATCCAATTTCTATAGCCACCAATCTTAGTCAATGAATCTGGATGGCTTACAATTCAAAAAAATATATTACAGTTAAAAATGCTAAAAAACTTTTTAAAATAATAAAAAGAAAATCACTCAATCTCACTTTCCAATCCATCCATCCATCCATCCATCCATCCATCCATCCATCCATCCATCCATCCATTCAATTTCTATAGCCACCAATCTTAGTCAATGAATCTGGATGGCTTACAATTCAAAAAAATATATTACAGTTAAAAATGCTAAAAAACTTTTTAAAATAATAAAAAGAAAAGCACTCAATCTCACTTTCCCATCCATCCATCCATCCATCCATTCAATTTCTATAGCCACCAATCTTAGTCAATGAATCTGGATGGCTTACAATTCAAAAATATATATTACAGTTAAAAATGCTAAAGAACTTTTTAAAATAATAAAAAGAAAAGCACTCAATCTCACTTTCCAATCCATCCATCCATCCATCCATCCATCCATCCATCCATCCATCCATCCATCCATTCAGTTTCTATAGCCACCAATTTTAGTCAATGAATCTGG